TTACCATAAGTAAAGTGATAAACCCAGTAACTGTGGCATTGAAGCTACCCACTTTGTTGGGTAAAATTCACCCAGTATTTCATTGTAGCTTACTAAAACCGGTGACTAACCCCCATGATACCAATATCTACCTGGGCCCTGTATCACGGAAACATTACGAGGTCAAAAAGATCTTGATTTGAGATATCATAAGGGGACCCTAAAATATCTCATTGTGGAAAGGGTACCCAGATACTGACGCATCATGGGTCCGGGAAAGGGATATCAATGCTCCAAGGTTATTACAGCAATTTCACAGGGCATATCCTACAAAACCAGATGACCCAATGACCGAATGATAATATCTCCTTTTCTTGTTTCAGACAGAAGCCTGGTAGGGGGAGCCGCTTGTCGAGTGTCAAGCAACATTCGACACCCTGACGTCTTGACAGGAGAATAATAGGTGATGTGGGAGGGGTTACTGGCACGGGTGATGGAAGGAGGTGATATTAGGCGGCTAGGTATTATACACACCGGTGGTGGGATGTAGCAAGGATCGTGTTAGGGTTTGGAGCAGCTCGTGTCGGATAGCAGCTAGCCAAAAGCGACGAAACCCCGATGACATCATAACCTTGCAACCGTGCTGAATTGCACCGGTGGCAGATTCAAACCCTACTGCTCATGAAACCCTCCACCTGAAAGAGATTATGAACATGTGCAAGTAAGCAATTAGAAGAGGGCGGAACTATAAAGTGGAGCTGAGGGGTGGATGCCCTCAGTGCCAACTTTGTTTGTGTATCGTTCCGGCGCCGACTAGAAGCCATTGTGTAACAAGGAAATAAACCGGGTTTATCGATTGAAGCATTGGTGTCTTGTCTTTCCCAGGATTCTGCACCAGCAGCCTAGCGGAGCCAAGAAAATGTTCAAGAGACCTGGTTTTGGGATACCATTTAATCCTGAAAGTTCCCCATGATGTCTTCTCAAATCCCAAACCCAGGCATTCACCCAGCAATGACTAGCTCAGTATGAGGCTGAATTATCCACCTCAGACAATATCTCCTTTGAAAGATGTACCACATTTAAACACTGTTACCCTACTGCTCATGAAACAGACAGAAGAAATCTTACATGACTGTCTCCACTGGGTTCATGAGGCAGAATTATCCTGGCCCGACCTAACTGACATTCTGTTGCAAAACCCAGGTGTAGAATTCTTTACAGACAAGTCTTCTTACATGTACAAGGGGACATGGGCTTTGGGAGCTGCAGTTGTCTTACTGAAATTATCTGGGCTTCCCCACTTGCACCCTCCTACAGTGCTCAAGCAGCTGAGCTCCTAATCTTAGCGAAGGTGTGTGAAACCAGTAGGAACTGGTCTACTAATGTATATAACACCTTTGGATTTTGTCATGCAATAGGAGCTTTATAGAAGCAACAATGGCTTTTAACTTCAAGTGGGCATCCAATTGCCTGTGCAGCCCTGGTTTCTGAACTGCTAAAAGCCATACAGCTATCCTCAGCCGTAGCAGTCATCCACTGTAAAATCCATCAAAAATCCATCCTGTAGACAACTAGACAAGGAGAATGAAAGCTGGAGTTCCTGCCCACCTGAAGAAATGTCAATCTTAGAGCAAAAGGAGAGGAACACTGGCAGCCAAGAAAAAGAGGAGCAACAACAACAAGATTTGCAAGTTGGAGAAATACTGGATCTCACAATAACTGTCTATATGGGAAGCCTAGTTAATGTCAACCCAGATCCAACGTCAAGCTGATATCCAGCATTCTTACCTTCTAGCCAGCCAACCAAGCCAGGCCCTGCTACAAAAAGAGCCACCTTAATTTGGGCAGAACTTAAATTAGCTTCTAAAAGTCATAACATAGCAATTTTCTGGCATTCAATAGCAGAAGTTCTAAAGGAATGGAAAATTTGCATTTGATATACCAATCTCCACCGAAGAATGGCAGAACTACTATCAAACTCTGTTTGCCTTGACCAAATTTGTAGAGAAACTGCATCTAAGCAGTGACAAGAACCCCCTGAAGCCCCTCCCCCTTGGCCACCAGTCTCTGTAAAAGGGGATATGGATGACTCCCAAGTCACAAAGGGAAATCAATATGCAGATGCCACCACAAAATGTGCTGCCACTGAGCCTATGCCAACATCACTCACGCTCCCAACCTTGGAAGTTAGCATCAAGGTTCCTTACCAAGACCTTTTAAAGGAAGTGGGGTGGAATGAAAAAAACAGGGAACTTAAGATCTTTCTAGGCAAATTTTGCCAGGAGACACACCTGCCATGGCCCCAAGTGCTACCTGTGGCCCTGTTCCACTTCAGAACCTGATGGGATTTGGGAATCCAAATCCATTTGAATTATTGTTTGGTTGCCTTCCAGACACCCTGAAGGGATTAGATCCTCACTCCCTTAGCCTGAAAAAAGGAGAAGTCTCTCAGCCTTACACCAATAGCTCATCAGGTTGTGGAAGTAAAGTGTCTGGACCCAGATCCTGCCACTTGAGGGAAACCTCCATCATTTTGAGCCTGGAGATTGGATCTGGATCAAGTCATTTGTCTGGAAGTCACCACTACTACCTAAGTGGAAGGCACTCTTCTAGATTCTGTTAACTATCTAGACAACTGTCAAAATCGTGGAGAGAAATGTGTAAATATTCTGGACTCACATAAAACTGGCTGTCTTAGACCATAGTTCAGAACCAACAACCGCATGAAAGGTGCTGTCCCTTTGATTCAGAAAGGACCCCGAAACCAAGGAGTGGGCACTTCAGACTCTTTTTGAAACTGAGGGAAATGGAGGAAGGAACTACAAGGGGTGGGCGGAAGAACCTTGTTATAATATATTGTGTACTTGTGTTTGTAAATTATGCTGGAGGATTTTTAGAACCCAGCCTTTTTCCTGACAAGGGTAACATTTGGGAGTACCTGGAACAGAAGTGGGTTTCAGCAGGTTCTGACCAGTTCTGGAGAACCGGTAGTGGAAATTTTGAATAGTTCAGAGAACCAGTAGTAAAAATTCTGGCTAGCCCCACCCCCATCTATCTCTGCCTCCCAAGTCCCAGCTGATTGGGAGGAAATGGGGATTTTGCAGTAACCTTCCCCTGGAATGGGATGGGAATGGAGATTTTACAGTATCCTTTTCCTGCCAAACCTACCATGCCACGCCCACCAAGCCATGCCACGCCCACCAAGCCACACCCACAGAACCAGTAAAAAATTTTGAAACCCACCACTGACCTGGAAGGAGAAATGCTAAACACAACTGACTTTTGCCTAGCTGAGAGAAGGTCTGTAAAAGATATTCTGACCACGTCTACTAAGGATAGCATCAGAACCACAGGCCATAATAAAATGACACCAAACTGAGAAATGTCCTTCTCACAGCCATGTACTCCACCATCTTTGACTGGGGCACCAGCTCTGAAGATAGAAGTGTTATGTAAATAGGTTTGTTTGGCGGGAAGTTCAAATTAACTGACCCTCAGCTGATTGGCTGACCACTACTGTTGTAAGGTATATAAAGGGAGCTGGCTCCCAGGTTTAGTTGCTGGAGTCTCACCATATAATAAAGAGCTGTTGTCACGAACTACTCTGGCTTGCTGCGTCCTCATTCACCCAACGTAACATTGGTGACGAAGGTGGGATCTTGAGGCCAGAAGCAGAGGAGAGCTGAAGCCACACTCGAGAAAGAGCTGAAGCCACGTTCAGAGAGGGGACCGGAGACCGCAACCGAATCCAGCCAGGCGAGCGAGCGGAGCACAGGAGAATCCCCGAAACGATGTCTGCCTACACCCCGCCAGCGCCTTTCGACCCCAAGGAAGAGAAGTGGGGATCCTACATGTCCCGGTTCGAGTGCTTCATGGTGGCAAATGACATGCAAGGGCTACCAGACGTTCGGAAGAAAGCCCTGTTCCTGAGCCACTGCGGGCCGAGGGTCTTTGACACAGCCGAAGCATTGTCGGAGCTGAATTCGGTCCACAACATTTCCTGGTCGACGCTACAGACCCTGCTGAAAGACCACTATGCACCAACGCCATCGAAGTACGTCCAACGCTATGATTTCCGGCAACGGCTACAGCAGGAGGGCGAATCGATCAGTGAGTACATTGCTGCCCTGCGTAAGGCTGCAACCCAATGTGAGTACCGAGACCTGGATGAGATGCTCCTAGAGCAACTAATTTGCGGAGTGAGAGATAGCCGGCTCCAGCGAAGGCTGCTTGCGAGGTCAAACCTGACCCTACTCATCGCGCTAGACGAGGCCAGGGTGCAAGAGTCGTCAACAAAGGCTGCAGAGAGACTAAAGGGCTCCCACTTAACCAGAACAACGCAAAAGACGGCACCAGTGCACCGAGAGGCCACGAGCACCGCGAGCGAAGGGGAGTCTGAAGAAGAGGTCTACCGCACCGAGCAGTCCCGCACAGCCCGCAGGGAGCCCAGAGACGGATGCGCCAGCTGCGGAGGGTCCCACTCACGACAAAACTGTAAGTTCAGGGATGCTATTTGCCGTTCCTGTGAAAAAAGGGGCCACATCGCTCGGGTCTGCAGATCCAAGGCACACCAGAGCTACAAACCACGTGGCCAACCCTTCCAATCAGAGCTGGCACCACACCGAAGGCCCAACAGAGATGGCAGAAACCGGAAGGGCGCTAAATTTGAAGACGCTGGGGCCTACACCATCCGCATTGCAGAGACCTGCACCTCGCCCGGAGAAAAGACATACACCACGGTCGAGATCGAGGGACGGGAGTGCCAGATGGAGATCGACACGGGATCACCGATATCCATCATGTCATGGGAAAACCTAAAGAAAATCATCCCCAGCGCACGCAAGTGACAGCTCCAGCCACAGCAACGCAGATTGAAGGACTACCAGGGGAACCGCATACCCGTCGAAGGAAGAGGTGAGTTCCAAGTTCAGTATGGGGAGTTTACCGAGAAACTGACCCTCACCATAGTCAGCGACAACCTCCCAAGCCTCCTGGGCATGGACTGGTTTAGAGCCCTAGGCATGGGATTCACCGGAGTGAGAAACGTTAGAAGCACCCTAAAGGAAGACCTGATGCAGGAGTTCCAGAACGTGTTTGACGAAAGGCTGGGCAAGTATGTGGGGACCCCGATTTCGTTTAACCTCAACCCCAATATTGCACCCATCCGCTTAATGCCTAGGCAGGTACCGTTCACCCTGAAGCCCAAAATTGACATTGAACTGGACAAATTAATCAAACAAGGGGTGCTCGTTCCAGTCGACCACGCCAAATGGGAGACCCCGATTGTGACACCGGTAAAGCCGGACGGATCAGTGCGCATATGCGCTGATTATAAATGCACAATTAATAAGGCCCTGCAGCAGAGCGCCTATCCAGTGCCCATCGTTCACCATTTGTTACATTCCCTGGGCCCCGGCAAGATCTTCGCAAAACTCGATCTCGCACAGGCGTACCAGCAGCTGCCGGTAGATGGCGCTACCGCAGAAGCACAGACTATCGTAACCCACAGAGGGGCCTTTAAGTGCACCTGCTTGCAATTCGGAGTAAGCGTAGCCCCCGGACTTTTCCAAAGTACCATGGAGCGGCTATTACAAGGAATCCCCGGGGTGGTGCCCTATTTTGATGACGTGCTCATTACCGCCGACAATGAGCAGCAATTAAGAGAAAGACTGAGGGGAGTCCTAAGGAAATTCAGGGACGCAGGACTCAGAGTAAAACGAAATAAATGCATGATCGCAGTTCCCTCAGTCGAATTCCTGGGGTACAGGGTAGATGGCACCGGCATACACCCCACAGAGAGCAAGATCAGGGCAATCCAAGAAGCACCCACCCCCAAAGACAAGGCAGAATTACAGGCCTTCCTGGGACTATTAAACTTTTACGCCATCTTCCTTAAAGACAAGGCAACAGTGGCAGAACCCCTACATAGACTGTTAACCAAGAAAGCCACATGGAAATGGGGGAAGGCTGAAGACAGGGCATTCGCCGGCATCAAAAAACTGTTATCAGCTGAAAGCTTTTTAATACAATACAATGCAATGCTTCCCCTTGTTCTAGCATGTGACGCGTCCCCGTTCGGGGTGGGAGCCGTCCTGAGCCACAGACTCCCGAATGGCCTAGAAGCGCCCATTGCATACTACTCCCGGACCCTATCAAGCGCCGAGCGAAATTATAGCCAGCTCAACAAGGAGGCCCTCGCCGCCGTTTCGGGAGTAAAGAAATTCCACGAGTACTTGTTCGGGAGGGATTTTGAACTAATCACCGACCATCGACCGCTCCTGGGTCTCCTCGCGGGAGATCGACCAACCCCAGCAGCACTATCACCCAGGATGACACGCTGGGCCATCTTCCTCGCAGCATACTCCTATCGCCTGGTATATCGACCAGGGGCGGACATGGGCAATGCGGACGCACTCAGCCGATGCCCACTACCTGATGGCCTAGAAGACCCCACACCCGGCATCCCCATCCTACTAATAGACGTTTTGGACTCTGGGCCCATAACATCAGCCGAGGTTGCGAGAGCCTCAACCAAAGACCACGTGATCTGGACAGTCGCAAGTTGGGTCATGAGGGGGTGGCCGGAAAAGATTGGGAGCGGGGACGAGCTGACAATGCAAGGAGGGTGTTTGCTATGGGGCGATCGGGTTGTTATTCCTTTAAATTTACGAGAAAAGGTTTTAACATTGTTGCATGAGGGGCACCCTGGGATTGTAAGAATGAAGGGGCTAGCCAGGAGCTACGTCTGGTGGCCCAGCATGGACACAGATATTACCGAGTGGGTGGGGAGATGCCAGCCCTGCCAAGAGTCCAGATCAGATCTACCAACGGCGCCCGTGAGGGAGTGGGAAAGGCCCCAGGGACCCTGGTCCAGGATACACATTGATTTTGCAGGCCCATTTCACGGACAGACCTTCATGGTCGTTGTAGACGCATTCTCCAAGTGGTTGGAGATCAAGCTAATGAAGGCCACTACCACCGACGCAACCATCAGGGAGCTGAGACAGTTATTCACCACCCATGGGTTACCGGACATCCTAGTGTCAGATAACGGGCCACAATTCACCGCGACACAATTCGAGGGCTATTTAGCAGGACTAGGGATCAGACATGTCCTTTCAGCCCCGTTTCATCCGGCCAGTAACGGACAGGCAGAGAGATTTGTAAGGTCAGCAAAGGAGGCCCTTTCACGCTTAAGCCCCAGAGACTGGCAGGAAAGGATAGTTAAGTTCTTAATAGCGCAGCATTCCACACCCTGTACAGCCACAGGCCGAAGCCCAGCAGAACTATTAATGGGACGGAAACTCCGAGGAATACTAGATAGGCTCAACCCCAATTACTCTCCAGAGGTTTTCAAGTGGGGGGGGAGAGGAAGCTTAGAGAATTCACCATAGGAACACCGGTTCACGCTAGGAACTATGGACAGGGCCCACTCTGGGAAGCCGGGACAATCACAGAAATCACGGAGCCCAAATCATACAGGGTAGATATGGGGGACGGGAGAGTTTGGCGCAGACACATTGACCAGCTAAGAAAATGGGTAACCACAGACACCGACGACAAGTTAGACGACCCCATCTCTGACCATGACTACCAGCCAGAAGCACAAAACACAAGCCCGAGTCGAGCGGAGGACTTAGCTGAGGATTCTGGTATCCAGCGCCGCCCCATCGAGGTAATCCAAACAGCCGGAGAAGTCGCCGCCCACGAGGAGGTTCCGGAGGCCTCGTTGGCGGAGCAGGGAGAAACAGAAAGTCCCTCTGACCTGCTCGACGCCGCCCCTCCGACTGAACTGCGCAGGTCAACTAGGACTCGTACACGCCCTAGTCACCTGAGAGACTTTGTATGTAAATAACACCCCAAGTGACTTCTGGGAGGGGAGGAGTATTATGTAAATAGGTTTGTTTGGCGGGAAGTTCGAATTAACTGACCCTCAGCTGATTGGCTGACCACTACTGTTGTAAGGTATATAAAGGGAGCTGGCTCCCAGGTTTAGTTGTTGGAGTCTCACCATATAATAAAGAGCTGTTGTCACGAACTACTCTTCATTCACCCAACGTAACATTGTATGTATGCCTTACATGTGGCCACTGTCACTAATTCAGCTACATGCTTTAAATTAGCAGGCTGTCAAGCCCCAGAATCCCCATGTGCCAAAACCTCAGCAATATTGAATTAACCTGCAATCATACTAAGACCATTCCCTTTTCTTACAACCAGGTAAGACTTCCGCCAGTTTGGTTCCTGCTATGTGGGTTAAAGGCTTATTCCTACTTGCCAGCAAACTTGACTGGGGGACCATACATCATAGTATGGTTGATCATGTTAATGCCTTCACTGCAGAGACAGTAAAGGAGAAACCTTAATACCTAAACCCTTGACTGCGATTCAAAACTTTTATTATCTAAAACTGAATATGTAGCATTAGCGGTCTCACTAGTAGGAATACCAGCATTTGTAGTATATAATTCTAGAAATATAAATAGCTTGGCATGCACCCTGGCCAAGAGACTAAATTCTACCTCCCAGCATTAGATGCTCTTAATAGAGAACTGAGGCAGGTTGAGAATCAAGCTGCCATTGATTACTTATTAAGGCACAATCATGGCTGGGAAGAATTCTGCGGGCTCTGCTGTTCCAATTTGACTGAAAACTCAGAACTAATAGAGCAAGACATTGAATATATATATAAAAAATTGGTGCAGGACATTGGGTATGGCAAATTTTCCCTGGATCTGTCTTGGCTCTTGGCTTTATCCAGCCACCCCTGGAGAAATATTTGTAATTTTCACCATTTTGGAAACAGGATGATTGGGTGGACGAAGAAAGTATTAAAAGTATTAAAAGTTTTTTGTTTTTGTTTTTTGTTCCCCTGAAGCTCATGTCACAGTTGAATGGGGTATCTGTTGGGTAGAGCATCTGTTGGTTTTGGTTTTGTAATAAGACAGTGAATTGTATTAATTGCTTATCTTTGCTAATAGCAGAGACCATAATGCAACACCTGGAATCTATAGCACTCCTTCGTATGCAACTCAAAGTATGGATTCAGTACATTGATGACACCTTTGTCATAAGGTCAACATAGCACAAAACAATCAATAACATCTTAAAACGAATAAATGCTGCTTTTGCTGCATATCTTCATCAGCAGAGACAGTGATGGCAAATTAGAAACACAAGTCTGTCATAAAACTGCTACACCAATTAAGTGCTCAACACCAAAGTAACAACTCAATCTCCCACAAGAGAAGTTGTGTATGAACACCATTTAGGCAAGCACAAACACAGTGTAGCAATCTTGAACATAAAAAGAAAAAAAGAAACAGATTTAAATAACATCTTCCAACAAAATGGATAGCCATGCATTTATAGAATGAATGTTGGGTAATAGTGACAGAAAAGACTAATGTGGCAAGAATAAAAATGTTAAAAGTTTTAGTTGATAGTTAAAACAATTTCGTCGTCTTACACAATAATCTCAATCACCCCAAAAGTAGTCCACTCTGAAGATGGAGAGAAATAGTTTAACATCTTTACATCCTGACTGGAAATATATTCCAAAGGACCTTCTGCCAGAGTAGTGTCAGAAAAGGGGGAGAAACTAAAAGAATGATTTGGAAAGTTATTGAAGACCCAAATAAAATTATTTTATTAGATGGCCAACTCGTATGTAAATTTAAGCAGAAAATTTATAGTAAACTAGAGTGAGAATGTCAATTGGACCAAAAATATTTATTTATATTTGAAATTGCTCGATATATTGATTTTACCTTGGGGAAGGTGCGTATGTGTGTATGTGTGAGTGTGTTCGGGATGGATTGAAAGTTAAATTATTTTCAGAATGGAAGGAGTGGGTTTGGAGTGGCTGGAATTAGGGAGTATGAGGGAGCCGGGGGCAGGGAATGGAGTCCCCTCTGCTGAGTGTGCAAGCAGAAGCAGATGGGGGCTCAGATATGACCCCCAGTTTGGTATGAGTGGGATGCCTTGCCTGCCGGGGAGGAGGGAGGCCACTGAGGTGGGGAAGGGGATCCCGGGGGGATGGTGAGCCGGAATAATGCGGTTATGACTGGGAGAGGTAGATATGGCAGGAGCCAAGGGGTAGGCCACTCTCGGGGAACTAGGACTCGCTGCCTCAAAGCAATTACTTGTTCTGGCCCCTCTGGTTTTGGTTTGCTGGGCTCACCTCGTATACCTGGCAACTTGGGATGTCAGGGCCCTGGCCTCAGGCTGCTGCTGTTTAATGCCAGGTCTGTTGTTAACAAGGCCCCCCTTGTTTGGGATTTAATTCTGGAGGAGGGGGCCGACCTGGCATGGATAACAGAGACCTTGCTGGGCCAGGAGGGGGGGTTCCCTCTCAGAGATATGCCCAGACGGGTTTCAGATATTGCATAAGCTGCGACTCCAGGGAAGGGGTGGAGGAGTGGCAGATATTGTCCGGAAGACCCTTTGTCCTCGCAGGATCCCTGCCCCAGAGATTGTTGGGTGTGAGTCTCTCCTCTTGAGGTTGGATTCAAGGGTTCAGTTGGGCTTGTTGTTGATATACCTGCTTCCCAGCTGCGTGACAACATCCCTGCCTGTGCTGCTAGAGGCAGTAGCTGGGTTGGAGGTGGAGTTCCCTAGACTTATGGTACTGGGGGACTTCAACCTACTGTCACTTGGCGAATCCTCAGATGGGGGCTTAGGAGTTCATGGCTTCCATGACAACCATGGACCTAACCCAAGTAGTTCAGGGTACGACCCATGAGGGGGGACACACAATCGACCTGGTATTTCTCTCGGGGCAGTGGAGATATGATCTGGAATTAAGGGGTATAGAGGTCTCACCCTTGTCATGGTCAGATCATTTCCTGTTGAGGCTGGACTTTAAGACGCCACTCCTCCATCGCAGGGAGACGGAGCCGATTAAGTGGTTCCACCCCAGACTCCTAAGGAACCCTGAGGGGTTTCAGAAGGAGCTTGGGGAGATACCTGACTCCCTTGTCCACAGTCCAGCTGAGACCCTAGTGCTGCCTGACATAAGGCAGCTGTCAGCATTCTGATGCTGCTATAAAAAGATGAGGCTTGACTTTTCACCTACTTATTTTCTCTGTAGATAATATCCCCTAGGAGATGGGATGGGAGGGGGGAAACATTCCTGTGGGGTGAGGTCAGAAGCTGGGGAGACTGACTTGGAAGATGGCCAATGAGAAGATGAGAATTGGGAAACGGAAAGGGAAGGGTTTGGGGGTCAGAGGGTTAGTATCGGCTACAACGAAATCGGGGCCAGATCTGTCATACTCAATAAATGGAATATTTCAGCAAAGATTAATTGTTTGGGAGTGTAATTTATTTGAGATGACATCAAAACCTGACAGTGGCGTCTGGGGCATTGGACCGGATTGTGCCTTTGCAGCCTCTCAATGGCAGCAGATCCAGGAAAGCTCCCTGGTTTACTGAGGAGCTCCGGGAGATGAAGCGCCAGAAGAGATGTCTAGACCGACGCTGGAGGACCAGTAAATCCAAATCCAACCGAACACTTTTAAGAGCCTTTGTTAGGACTGACGATATGGGTGGCAAAATGTTCACATTTTTCCGCACTTATTGCATCCGCTGGTTCTTGCCCAACCACCCAATTTAGGGTAACTCGCTTCCTCCTTAAGGTTGAGGGAACGGAGGAACCCTTGCAGGGTAGAGCTGAGGAATTTGTACAGTTTCTATTGGATAAAATCGCTCAGATTCAGATAGACCTGGACTCTGATTAGGCAATACTGACCGAGATGACAAGGGCAGGTCTTAGTCCTATTGTGTGGGAGGAGTTTGAGCCAGTGACTCCTGAGGAAGTGGACAAGGCTATAGGGGCAATGAGTTTCTTCACTTGTTTGGTGAACCCATGTCCCTCCTGGCTGGTTTCGGCCAGCAGGGAGATGACACGTGGCTGGACCCAGGCTTTAGTCAACGCGTCCTTGAGGGAGGGGTCCTTCCAGCAGCCTTAAAGGAAGTGGTTGTAAGGCCCCTCCTCAAGAAGCCTTCCCTGGACCCAGCAGAATTAAAAAACTTTTGTCCAATCTCCAACCTACCCTTTGTGGGAAAGGTTGTAGAGAAGGTGGTGGCACTCCACTTCTGCAGTCATTGGATGAAACAGATTATCTGGACCCTTTTCAGTCTGGTTTCAGACCTGGCTATAGCATGGAAACTGCCTTGGTCATGCTGATGGATGATTTCTGGTGAGCCCAAGACAGGGGTCATTCCTCTATCTTGGTGCTCCTTGACCTCTCAGCGGCTTTCGATACCATTGACCATAGTATCCTTCTGGGGCGACTAAGGGAGCTAGGAGTGGGAGCACCGTGTTGCGGTGGTTCGCCTTCTATCTCTCTGGTCGATCACTGTCGGTGCTGGTAAGAGGATAGAAGTCGAC